ACAATAAAGGTTATACGGATGCAGTAGAAAATTTGTACAACATTGAAAATGATGACGATAATAATGAGAATGAAACAATGGTAAACGACAACGGTGATGAGAGTTGTGACACTGGATAATTTTTTTTATTTTTTTTTTTTTCGCAATAAAAATTACATAAATCAAATATTTTTTTTCATTCCTATTTGTATTTTTTTTTCTTTGCAATAAAAACGATGCTACACTCACATACAACTGGGACTCGAAAACGTATCTCCAAACAAACAGCATGATGGTGTTCGCTTGGATAGGTTCGAGAAGACTTCCTTCGCTCACGTTAAACGCTTTGTATTGGAAATCCATGTACTCCTCATCGTCCAATTTCACCGTCGCAACCCCGTTGATGGCATTGGTTCCGCTGGCGGATTTGACGAACACAGCGGCAGTCAATATTGCAGACATATAAAAAATGTAATGGTAAGGTAAGCAAAAGATTTTTTTTTTTTTTTTTTTTGATTGCGTAGACAAGCAAAGATAGGTTGCGAATCGACAAAATCAGGTCATTTATATAGCAAACATTCTTCGTTTTTTATCGATATTGTATAGCAATGCAAGTCCTTTTGAAAAAGTAAAAAACAGGAACTGGTCGTTCACTGTTAAAAAAAACCCCCAACCAAGACTTTTTTGAAAGTGTAGAGATTTTGAGACTAAAAGGAAACAGGATGATTCACGATTAATTTTTTTCCTTGTTGTTGATGAAAAATGAAAGATGCTTCGTCCCACAAAAATGATAATTCGTAAATCAATTTTCAATTAAAAAATAATTAGCGTTTTTAGTTAGTAATAATAGTAATGAAAAAAAACAATCAATTCAATTGTCGATTAATGATTTAAAAAGTAAATTTCATACTTTAAATTAATATCAACAAATAGCATGATCTTCATCACACTAACTAAATACTAATAATAAGAAAGATGCTTTGCCGCCACCAAAAAAGTATTTTCTTAAATAAACAATTATCTGCTTATCATTGCACGATAAAAGTTTATCACGTGGAGAAAAGGTATTTACATTGATCATCAAAGAAAAAATAAAATCACGCACGTAGATCGATTTCAGAAAAAAAAAAGTTTTTCCATCCAGCAAAAACAAAAAATTCCTTCCCAAAAAATTAGGTTTGAAAAACATAGATTTTTGCTGTTTCGTATTCATATTCATATTCCCTCGTTGTGCAATTCAATCACAAGTGTTCGCTTGACAATGAGTAGAAATAAAACATTTAACATAAAAAGAGATAATTGGCGAAAAACCTGCACGAAGATTATGAAATTTGAGAATTTTGGAAAGAGAAAGTGACACGGCAAATGTTAGATCTTTTTTCTGTGTTAATTAAAATTTTTTTTTTTAAAATAATAAATCAAATTGTTTTTCTAGTGGCAATGCTAATACTAAAATCAATAATGGATTAATTTCTTGCTGGTATTTTTAGTAGGAGAGGATTTTTTTCAAAAAAAGCTTAATTAATTTTCTTTAACAACTCATTTTTGGAAAAGGCTCGATTTTAATCAAATGATTCCTTTTTCATTTTTTTTTTACTTATAAATACAACCTCTGAACGTTTTAAAAAAAAAATTGGGAGATCATTATCGAAAATTTCTAGAGAGAGATAGTATCGTTGCCAATTCTTTCTAAATATTACCAAAATATTGCCAATCTTTTCTAAATAGTTACAAAGTAAGGAATATAATATACACAAAAATAGGATTGAAAGAAAATCAATGGAGTTGATAATCCTGATATGTCAATTAGAAAAATGTTTCAAGTGTGAATGCATAAATAATAAATAATGAATAAGTTAGTAAATGGTGGTGTTGATCTGAAGATGCTCATCCGATGCCGATTAATAATTTTTCCTCTATATAAATAAGAACCTCAATTTATATAAAAAAATACACAACAATAAATATTGTTTTTTAAAAAAGATGACCAACAATACAGGAATTAAATTTAAATCAATTCCAAGCCAATATCCAGTAGTTGGTGAACATATCGAAGCTGTACATAATAAAATCGATATTGATTCTTATGTTCTCAAGCAAGATGAAATATTAGTAAAAAATATCTATATATCATTAGATCCTTATATGCGTGGCAGAATGAGATCACCTGAAATCGAGTCTTATGTTGATGCGTTTCCTCTTGGCGAAATTATGCAGACCTCTGGTATTGGTGAAGTGGTTAAGAGCAATAATTCAAAATATAAAATTAATGATTTATATTCTGGATTTACTGGTATGCGTATATTTACACATATAAAAATTTTTATTATTTTATAAAATATTAAAAAAATACAATTTTTTCATTCGTTTAGGATGGGAAGAATACTCGTTGATCTCAGCCAACAATGCAAATCAAAATGCAGGTTTTATTGAAATTTTAAATTCTAGTAGAGTGTCCGGGTCCCCTCCCATTAGCTATTTTCTAGGTGTGTTGGGTATGCCTGGCATGACAGCTTATACTGGATTATTTAAAATCGGCCAACCAAAAAAAGGCGAAACCATTTTTGTTTCAGTAAGTAAAAATAATCAAATACGACAATTTTCTACAGTATTGATATTAATTAGATATTAAAATTAGACAGCAGCAGGTGCGGTAGGCCAAGTTGTTTGTCAAATCTCCAAAATTTTGGGTTTACGTGTCATTGGTAAATAAATACTTGATACCTTCTTTTCTTCCTTTAGATTGTGGAAATTATATGTTAGTAATTTGATTTTGCTGTTTTATTTGTATAGGATCTGCTGGCGATGATAGTAAGATTGATTTTCTTTTAAATGAATTGAAAATAGATGGAGCCTTCAATTATAAAAAATCTGATACCAAAAAGGTGATACTTTTAATAATAATTAATTGTATGCGCGAGTGTATATACTTGTATTTATTTATTTACTTGAAAAATTTTTTTGATCAGAAATTGGAAGAATTATGTCCAAATGGAATAGATATTTATTTTGATAATGTTGGGTAATATTCAAAACATTTTAATTATTTGACATAGACAGAAAATAATGAAAGACTTTTTTTTTTAATAGAGGAGAGACATTGGATATAACATTACCCCAATTAAATAAAAATGGAAGGGTGGTGGTTTGTGGAATGATATCACAATACAATGCTGAAGAACACTATGGTCTTAAAAATGGTATTTACATCCTTACAAAAAGCCTTCTTGTTCAAGGCTTTATTGTACTGGATTATTATAAAGAATTTTATGCGAACTTCATAAAAGATATGAATCAATGGTTGGGATCTTCCCAAATAAAGTATCAAGAGAATATTGTTGTAGGGATCGAAAATTCGCCTGATGCTTTTTTGGGAATGTTGAATGGTAAAAATTTTGGTAAATTGCTTATAAAAATTGATAAAGATTCTAAATTGTGAATTTCAAATATTATTTTTATTTGTTAATTGAATATATTTACTCTATAAGAGAATAAACATCACATATACATTGATATTATGTCATAATTATGTAACATTAATTGTTGATTATCTGTCACTGAATATTATTCATTTATTAATATATATATTGCAGTAATAATTGTAACAATATTAATATACATATCAGGAATGTGACCCATCATCAATTCTTATTATGTTTAGCAAAAATTTACCTTCAAACTGCATTGTCATGATCTAGATAGTCCGTCTGATTGCTCTATATATATCAAACACTTTAGAACAAAATTCTGATTTATGACATAAATTGTCTAATTTGAAATTCTTCTTTTCCTCCTATTGATAATTTTAAAACCTCAAATATCCAAATTAAAAATGACTGTAAAATGTGTGTTCCGGTGATAAATAAAGATTTAATACCTGATATCATTGTATGCACATTGCAGTGATGCAAGAGGGATAATTATCACGGGAAATTTTACAAACGTTATTATTATGTTTGATGACCAAGAGTTTGAATTAAAAAATTTACTTATTAATTAAATTTGTATAGAAGCTAATTATTATTATGAAATTAATATGTTAGTTCACTCAAGTTGTAACAAATGTAAAGAAGAATAAGTCGCACTCTTATTCAAAAAGTTTGATCATCCCATCCCACCCTGGAAGAGGAAGATTGTTTAGTGATTTGGTTTGGTAAATTAATAGATAATTAGACCATTGGGTATGATTTTATATGACAAACCAGGTTTTACGACTGGTAGGTATATGTTATATACACAGTGAATCTCGATTTAACGGATCTCGATTTAGCGGATACTAATTAAAAATCTCGGTTTTACGGATAAAGTTCAAAGAACGGTTTCATAATAAACCTTAATAAAAACCTTCTCGATATAGCGGATATCTCGGTTTAACGGATTTTTGGAAAATTTTCCCTAATTGCCCAAACTATCCGTTAAATCGAGATTCACTGTGTATTTGATATATGTAATTTACATTTTAATTTCTATATTATTTAATTCGACACTCAACTGCGGTGAACGTTGGATTTGTTAAGCGAGTCTGAAACATATATATGCAGGTAAATATTAGTATGTAGAGCAACTTTTACATACATCCGAGTTGTGTTAACTTGATTTTTTTTTGAATTTTGATTTTGAAATTAGCTACATGTATAACAGTAATATACAATAATATTATTGATAAAATAAAAATGCGATCAAACTGTCTTTAGTATCTGACTTTAAAGCAACATAGGCTGATTAATATTGATATCTAGAATAACCTTTACATAGCACATAAGACAGGTTTTGGTACAGATTTTTGCAAGTTTTAATTTGGAAGATTTAAAATAGAAAACAAAGAATGCTGAAATTCACCAAGTTGTTTGGTGATGATAAGGTGAAGTTATTCTTTAATAATGCAATTTTCATTTTTCTATTTTTCAAGATTTATAATCAATTAATCCTGTTGGAGAAAATTTAAGGCAATCAAATAAACTACTTAATTGTCGAACGTACGAATAATATTACGAGTAAATTATTTGTTACGTATTTATATTGATCAAAAGTGATATGAATATTATTTTTTCCAAAAATGTTTCCACCATTTATTTTGTATATAATTGAAACCCTTTTGTCTACCTTTTCATTGTCTGTTAAGTAAGTCATCAATTGAAGGTAAAAATCATTATCATATTTTCATGCCTTAAGTTGCGTATTCTTGATTAATTTTTATCTATTTTTTGATTTCCATTGAAAAATTGCTGTCACACCTAGATAAATAATTTTTGTCCTTAATATTAGAAATTGTATAATTGATGTCGAATTTAGTAAAATATTTTATTTTTTATTTAAATTTTTTCAATTTAATTTTGATCTTATAAATATCTAATCAAATCAATTAACTTATTTATAGCAAGAAGTTAAGATTGTGTATTTTGCAACAGCTCGAGATGCGACAAATTTATCATCAGAAACAATTTCTTTGAATAGTAATAACGATAAAAATAGTATAACAACACTTCAAGAAATCATAAATATATTAAAAAGTCGGCATAAAAACCTTACACCAATACTTGAGAATTGTATGTTTGCAATCAATATGGAATATGTTGATAATGTTGATAAGAGCATGATAAAATCTGGTGATGAAGTTGCAATAATTCCACCTGTTTCTGGCGGATAATTAATTCTCACATTATCTACTAGCAAATATATAAAAAATTTAAAATGAATGATAAAGATTTATTTGAATAGTTTCATTCGGGAATTGTAGAAAATTGATTTATGTGATGAGCGTATGATTGAAAGCTTGTGTGAAAATGGTAAATTAATTACTGATTAAATTAAATTATTGATATTTTTATTTTTATAATCTATAAGAAATTTTAATTCATAAAAACGTCATGTAGAAATAAATAAAATTATTTTAATAAAATTAATTATCCAAAAAAATTTTATTGACATTACAATATTAAACATCGGTTTGCATTTCATCCTCCTCATCATCTGATTTGTCTTCTCTAAAACGTGGATTCTTTTCACGACCTTGATCTTCACGCCCTTGATCATCACTATCTCTTTCACGTTTCTTTGATGTAGTTCCTAGGTATTCATCATAACAATAAAAGATGTTGATCAATAAATAATTTTCAAATCCTAATTATTAATATTCAATGTGAACGTATGATTACCTTTGCCTTTGTATTCACCAGCACCCATAGGAATAGAAGTAATGGCTTCATATTCTTCTTTTTGTCTTCTTGCACGTTCTGCTTCATTTTTTGCACGAAGATGTCCCCATCCACCACGTCCTGTATCATAATCTTGCCTATATTCATCTCTGACCTTTATTTATTTATAAAATATAGATTGAATTATTTATACACATAAATAAATAAATAAATTCTATAATATATATATATATTATATGTACCTGACCACCAGATCTACCTCTTCCAAATTGTCTCCCATCTTTATACCCAGGATCTAAATCTGTTCTAATAATTCTTTCATCTAATTTGGTGCTATTAATATATTTCATACAATCTAATGCGTCTTGATGTGAATAATACCTTTACAAAATAATTACAAAAAAAAATTTTCAAAGGTTAATTAATATCAAGTACTCTTTTTTTTTTTTTCTTAAAAATAAAAACTCCAACTTACTCAACAAAACAAAATCCACAAGGTGTTCTTTGAAATTTATCCAATCCCATAATTATCCTCTTGATTTCTCCTGCTTTTGAAAATAGTTCATAGATCTGTTCTTCTGTTGTATAAAATGATAAATTTCCAATATACAAAGTTGTACTGTTGGATAGATCTTTGCTAAGTTCTACAGTAGATCCCTAATTTAAAATTAAAAATTTTCTGATTAGTAGAGAAATTTAATTGAAAATTTCACTAAAGAAAAGAAAACTTTGAAGTACTTGATACTGATGATCTTTGTATGATGAAGGAACACAAAGAGGAAGAACAATGTTAGCCATTATATATTCCTTATATATATGAATAAGTGTTTATGTTAAAATATATTAATATTAAGCACAATTATAGTTCAACTTCATTTACTGTTAATTATTATAAATAGTCATGTGCAAAAATTTTTATAGATAAAATAAACAATGAAGTTGGCGACAACTTAAATTGACCCATTTATGAGTAAATCCCGTTACACTAAATCAGGAAGATCCAAATCCTAATTGTGGCATCATCATCGTTGCTGCTGCCACCAGCTAAACATATCCTGCCGCATTTTAAAATAGCAACAGAGAAGTCAAATCCAAGTAAGTCACAATTATAAACGATCAGGTCTTTCTCCATAAGTGTTCGTGTGCAAAAAAATGTCCCTTGTGTTACAGGCAGCATTAAGTCATCTCGATTCCAATGTGTCAGGCAGACTGATTTGCAGACTCTGACAGTCCAGAATTTTTGATGCTTATCAAACCACACCCATCACACAAAGAACATATGGAACTCGTCAACAGTCACCACCTTGCAGTGTCTAGAAAACTCTCGACGAAATTCTTTTACAGGACCTGGAGAATGCCTGCGTGATGTTGAATTTGATGAAATTTACCATTGCCAAATGTAAAATGTCTGGGTCCCATAAAAATTTCTAAAAAAAAATCATATATGCTATTTGCTTTCTTATTATTATGCGTACATTTATAATATTTCTTCCCTATGATATATATACACCATGCGCACTATGTGCAAAAAAAAAAAAAATCAGAGCTACTATGAATGGCGTATCTCTAGGTGAAAAGTATGTAAGTAATATTATTCAATGATATTTTTGTTTAATAGCAAATTAAATTAACAAAGTATAGTTCACCTCGAATAACAGCCTGAAGATTTTTTTTTTTCAAACAACTCATTTTTTTGCAACCCTGCTAAGTTCCAGTACTCCTTGTTTGGAACTTTTTCATCTGAACTCATTGCTACAAACAGATATATTCTTCCAGGATCCAGCCTAAATAATTGGCATTCATTCAAATCAATATGCGATCCGTATTCGTTAGCATATCCTTTATTATCATCAACTTTTTTTCTGCAGACCATCAGTTTATATGGAATAAGCAAAGATTCGATTCTGAGTGGTGATTTTATTAATATTAAATGCTTTCGTCTGTCTATCAAGCTTCCCTTCCAGCTCTGAATCTTTGAATGGTTGTTATCAATTGATTTGTACATGTAAAATAAAGCAACTAATATGTACTTTTGTTGGAAAGAGTATTCAGGCAGAAGTGTGGAGAGATGAGGGTCATGTTCCCGGTTATGCTTGATAAAGGTGGAGAGGATTTTGTGGAGACCTGGAAGTCATGATCACCAAAATGCTTTTATAGTTGCGTCATCAAAGCTTGATTTTGGAACAATGTCTGTTGCGCTTTTGAGTGAATATATTGAATGCGGATGGTAAGGTGAAGAAGGCATTATGGATGTGATGTAGAGAGTTTTATCAATAATTTTTAAGGGGTCTTGATTTTTCAAGTTGGTAATGAAATGGTTTATGATCGAGTCAATGTATTTTTTGGGTAAAGGAAATTGATGAGTCCTAAATAATTTATAATTTATCCATCTTTAGTCGGTTATTGAGATTTGCGGTTCTAACATATTTCCGTACAGCAGAGGAGAGAAGTTGTCTTAATAGTTTTTATTTAATATTTTTATTCGTTGCTAATTGTTATAATTATAATAATAAATAAGATATTACGTAATTTCATTTCTAATTGTTCTTCATTTGATATCATTTTAAGTTGGAGTGCGTGAGAAGAACAAGCACCAAATTATTTACATTTTGATACGTTACGAATATCTTCTGGTTTATTATCATCGTCATCAATGATAATTGTTTGAATGAGGGAAATCTGAAAAAAAAAAGAAAAAAAGCTTCCGCCCGGGGGTTCTTCTCCTTGAGAATTTTTTGCGAACTTTTACAGTATATGTTATTCCCGTACACATATCGGCCTACACAATAAACCAATGTGCCTTTCCCAAAGTCGACCACTTTGTAATCGTTAAAACTCACATTTCTTTTGTACAGAGCGCTTCCACTTATCATAGTTTCGATGGAGGAGATGGTCTTGATGAAACATGTATATAGGTTAAAAAAATGGAAGTCGTGTTTTTTTTTTGGTTAGTTTTTTGTTTTTTTTTTTCTTTTAATTAGCATTCTTCATTCGATATTTATTTTTTCATTGTTCGAATTAGAAGCCACTACTTAAACTAAAGTTTAATTTCTATTTTAAAGAAAAATTTTTTTTATTTTTGTAAATTAATCGAAATGTTGAAGACCAAACATAAATTTATTTATACAACCAAAGGAATGGAATGTATGTATAATAAATACCAAAACCAATCAATTAATACTTGTTTTTTTTACTGATCTGACATCTTTTCAGTATTTATATAAGAACCTCTATCCGTTTAAAAAAAATTTGGCAGCACTTAACTTAACGTTAATGTTAAATACAACCGCAAACATTTTCGAAAATTCATTTTTAACGTTGCACCAAACTAAAACTAATTGAGTTTAATTGTTTCTTTGTTGGGAAGTTCAACGATTTTGTGCTGCATACTTAGAGATGGGCAAATGGCGTATAGTTGAACACTATACGATACTTTACGTATAGTGCGTATAGTACGTATAGTACGTA